GGCTAATGCTACTGGTGGGGCTCGTGAGAGTCTTGCTGGAGCAGCAACAACAGAGGCAGTCTCCATTTATTTATTTCTTCTTTTCTTCCTTTCTTCTTTTTTCTTTGTAAAAAGAGTCTATCTACAGTTTTTTTTATTATTCTCTTCAGTTTATATATTATGATCTCTTCTCTTCTCTTCTTTTATCTTTTTACTTAATAAATAAATAAATAAAAAAACTGTTACTCTGTTACGCCCCCACAACGACCACTGTTAACTATTCCACGATATAAAAAGAAAAACAAAAAAAAAAAAAATGAAATAATGAAATCAAATCAACACAAAAGTGAACACAGCCGTATTTATACCCCGCTACTCTAGAGCCTATCATCATCATCATCATCATCATCCATAACACCACACAAAGATCAATAATAGTGAATAAGAATAACAGAGAAACTCAAAAACAAAAACAAAAAAATAACTCCATCATAACATTTGAAGTGTAGATGCGGAAATAAACACACACAAAAAAAAACAAGAAAGTGTTCCCCTTCCCACTCGAAAACCCACAAAAAAAAAAAAAAAGGAAATAACGGGTTCAACCATATTTTTATAGCAATCCGATTCCGCTCGACTCCTTCTCATCTCTTACCCTATCATTACTTCATAATTTATGGCATCTTTGCCATCTTAAGAGGTGGCAAAATCACATTCAATCCCAAACAAATAACAAATTAAATCAATCATTTTTTTATTCGGCCATTCATGAAAACTAGTCCAAACAGGTACAGAGACTACACCAAAAAAAAAAACCACAAGATCCATGCGGGACGCTAAACCAGGGTTCAGAGAGAACACCAAAACCACAACTGCCGGCAGCACACTAACACTGTCATCCTTTTCTTCAATCCTTAATAAAATGGTAAAGAAACAAAAGGAAGAAAAACAAAGATGCAATACAAACAACCAAATCATTATACAAACTATAAACAACATCAATACGATACAGCATAACAAACCCAAAACCACACCAATGTGAGAATCCTTTTTCTTGAAAGCACCTAAACCCATATATACACCTCAAAGTAAGCCCAATAAAAAAAGAAGCAATGCAAAATTTTAAAGCCCAAGTGTCTGTGTCCATATACACTGTTTAATGCTATTCAGTCCTACCATATTACGTTCACACATGCATCAACAAACAGTGGGACACCTAAATTGGAAAAAGAAGGAAAAAAAAACATTTATAAATTATTTTAGCCCAAGAAGACATGGTAAAATAAACTCCATATACCATTGACAATTATGAGAATTTTTGTTTTACAATGGTACGAATCACACAGCCAAGCAAGTAAAAAGAAAAAGAAAAAGAACGACCAACTGGCTGCGATGTATGCGGATATACGTGCACAGTCCAAAAGGCCGTAATAAGCAAAAAAACGTTTGTTATTACAGGTACGTATATATGTGCGTGTGTATAGATGGAACTCATGGGGATGCCAGAGCCACCAGAGCAGACACAATAAGCAAAAGAGAGATTTGGTATGAAGTGGCAATACTGCTGTCAGCACCCACAATAGCAATGGTGGTCGCCTGGTTTAGCGCTTGTCCCATCCGAGTGTTGTTTAGTCCCGTCAAAGTGGCATGAGCAGCAGATGCGTTTACATTCTCTGGTATGCTCGATGTTGTTGTGTGAATGTTCTCCTCGCTACTTGCAATGATTGTCTCTGACAGATCAGGAGTTGATGTTGGGGCTGAGGTTTCAGTTTGAGCATTCTCAACTGGATTAGTACTCGTTGTTGCGTTGTTGTCAGTATTCACAATGGTTTCATTCCTTTTCTCGTCACTGGTGGAAGGACTCTCAACATCTTCTGGGGAACGAACTGGATCAACTGTGGGCTTTGTCTCATCGTTCCCATCTTGTGTGGGAGGCTGTGTTATTGTTCCTTGCACTTGTTCACTGCTTTCCGTTTTATTATTATTATCCTCCTCCTTGATTGAAGCTGTGTCATCCAGAGTAATAGTGGGTTTAGAAACGACAGGCGTCGGGGTCTCAGTGGTGGGCATATTTTCCACTTCAGGCTTCTTGACGGGTTCACTGGAATTCTCTTGTGCAGATAAAGTGGGTTGTTGCGGTTGTAGACCACCAGTGTTGTTGTTGTTACTGTTCTCGTGAGCTTGTTTCTCCTCCCTCTCAAGTTGTGGCTCAGGTACAGCTGGATGAGGTAGAGCAACCTCCTCTTTACCCCCTCCTGCTGAATCCCTTTGGTCTTCTGCCTGTGATGGTGCAGTAGGTACATGTGATGTACCATTTCCTTTATTAGCTACATCTGAACCCCCATGTTCTACGGTCACTTCTGATGTAGGGTTTTCTCTCGGATTTGGTTGTGGGTTGGTCTGTGGCGCCCGTTGTGAACGTGTCGGTGGGGATGGTTCGGGATGTTTTGCATTTTCTTTGTCTTCGTCTCTTTCTCTCTCTTTCTCTCTTTCTCTCTCTTCCTCAAGCGTTTCCTCTTCCGCTTCCTGTGTCTCTACGTCCATCTCGTCTTTCTCCTCCTCCTCTTTCTTTATTCGCTCTTTCTCATCCTCATCATATTCAATTGTGAAGTTAATATCCTTAACTTCAGGAAAGTCATTGCATACTTCAGTGTAGTTGGGACACAAGATGCTTCCACTTGCAAACTCTGTGCTGCCCGTGACTTCAATTTTCTTACCATCTTCGCATACACGCCATTTCTCGGAACCACTGTACTGCACCAATATTTTCTTGGTGTCTTTCTCACACTTCACATCCGCACAAATGTCACCAACAGTAAGATTATTTTCGTTTGGTTCTTTCAGTTTCAGCTTGTCACCTTTCAGACATCGAGAGATATTGCTCAGTATACTGCCAGGTATCAGGTTGAACTTATCCTCCTCACAATTTGTCTTAGGAATCGGTTTAATAATAGTATAACCATCCATCAGGTCATCATCAGGGTCATTGAGAACTGGGGGAAAATACATTTCATAGTCAAGAGGTATCTTGACCCCATACGGCTTCATCGAGCACATTCCAAGTGAAAAACGGTCAGAAGTGCATTGCAGAGCAGGATTTACTTCATCGCAGAACATTTCAGAGTACTTGTTGGGTTTTGTTTGTTTGTAATCTTCTTTGTCATTGCCCTTCAGAAAATCACAACCAGCATCCTTGCCCCAACTCATATTTTCAGCCATTTTGAACTCGGCCTTGTAGAACGGCATAGAATCAAATACAGCAAGTGTTAGTGCGGTGTAGAACATTCCATTGCTGCTGCCGCTGTACGTACTCATCAACTCATCCTTCGCAATTCGACGTTCCCAGTGCAGCGGTGCCCCTGGAGTAAATTCATTCTCTAAAGCCATTCCCGTTATTTCATTATCACCCTCATCATTAGTACATTTATACTGATCCTTCATTTTCTCGATCACAGTAGGGTATGTCACCAAACGGACTTTCTTTTTCCCCGTCGTTTCTTTTCCTTCCTTGACATGCTCCTTCATCATTTCAATTTCAAATCCAAGAGCATGTGCAACCTCATGTGCAGTAAAACGAATGTAGTGCCTCGTTGCATCAATTTCCTCTGGAACGAATTTAATCAAAGCAGATGTCGGGCGACCCTTTGTATTTCTAGAACAAATCTTTGGGGGTTGATGCTCATCTATAAGACCCACATACAGCATAAAATCAGCATTGGGAATACCTTTTATATGGTCCTTTGGAATTGAGACATCTGTACAATTGGGCAAAACTGGATACGGATGTGTTTCATTAAAAGGTAACTTTAACATATCCTCCACACGTTCAACACTGAGACGTTCACTGTGTAACTTGAGAGCAGCAGGAAGAACTTCTCTTAAAAGCGTTTTTCTCCTATACGCTGTTACCTCGTTGGGCCCATCGCAAAAATTAGTGTTGATTTCCTTAATATTAAGTTTAAATCCATAGTCTTTTGTATCATCATATTCAACATCCCATTCACCACCATTATGTTCACAGTTCTTCACTATCCTATCAATTTCTTTGGCAGAAACGGCAAAACGAATAGGTTGAAACCCCTCTTTTTTCCTCTCAAGATCAACACCACCAGGAACAGAGAGGGTGTACGTATCCCAGGGACCCTGTCCTCTCTTTGGTAGCGGCTGCACAACAGCTGCAATGCACCCGTAGGCACAACACAGCAAGAGCAGCGCAGTGCACAACAGACGACGCATGTGGATCTTCTTGAAAGCTTACTCGCAAAAGAGTGTAGGTTTGTGTATAGCTGCGTCAAAAATAGAAAACAGAAATGAGAGAAAAAAAGAAGAGAAACAGATATGCTCAGTACAGTATAACGTCATGTTGGTAATCACACACAAAGGGATAGAGAAAGAGAGAGGAAAGAAAAGAAATAACCATGCTGCATTATTAACTGCAGGAATGTGAATCTTCTGTCTTGAAAGCACCTAAACCCATATACACCTCAAAGTAAGCCCAAAAAAAAAAGAAGCAATGCAAAAATTTAAAGCCCAAGTGTCTGTGTCCATATACACTGTTTAATGCTATTCACTCCTACCATATTACATTCACACATGCATCAACAAACAGTGGGACACCCAAACTGGAAAAAAGAAGAAAAAAAAAAAACATTTATAAATTATTTTAGCCCAAAAAGATATGGTAATATAAACTCCATATACCATTAGCAATTATGAGAATTTTTGTTTTCCAATGGTACGAAGAACACAGCCAAGCAAGTAAAAAGAAAAAGAAAAAGAACGACCAACTGGCTGCGATGTATGCGGATATACGTGCATAGTCCAAAAGGGCCGTAATGAGCAAGAATGTTTATTATTACAGGTACGTATATATGTGTGTGTATATAGATGGGACTCATGGGGATGCCAGAGCCACCAGAGCAGACACAATAAGCAAAAGAGGGATTTGGTATGAAGTGGCAATACTGCTGTCAGCACCCACAATAGCAATGGTGGTCGCCTCGTTTATTACTTGTCCTACCTGAGTGTTGTTTAGTTCCGTCAAAGTGGCAGGAGCAGCAGATGCGTTTACATTCTCTGGTATGCTTGATGTTGTTGTGTTAGTTGTGTTGTTGTCAGCATTCACACCGCCTTCCTTCTCATCATCGGTGGCAGGACTGTTTGGGGAATGAGTTGTATCAACTGTGGTATTTATTCCTTCATCGTTCCCATTTTGTGAGGGAGACTCTGTTATTGTTTCTTGCACTTGTTCAATGTTTTCCGTTGTATTGTTGTGATCCTCCTCCTTTTTGGAAGGAGTGTCCTCCGAAACAGCAATGGGTTCAGATACGACAGGCTTGGAGATCTCAGAGGTGGGTTTTTTTTCCACTTCAGGCTTCTTGACGGGTTCACTGGAATTCTCTTGTGCAGATAAAGTGGGTTGTTGCGGTTGTAGACCACCAGTGTTGTTGTTGTTACTGTTCTCGTGAGCTTGTTTCTCCTCCCTCTCAAGTTGTGGCTCAGGTACAGCTGGATGAGGTAGAGCAACCTCCTCTTTACCCCCTCCTGCTGAATCCCTTTGGTCTTCTGCCTGTGATGGTGCAGTAGGTACATGTGATGTACCATTTGCATTACCAGCTACAGCTGAACCCCCATGTTCTACGGTCACATCTGATGTAGGGTTTTCTCTCGGATTGGGTTGTGTGTGGGACTGCTGTACTTGTTGTAAATCTGTCGGTGGGGATGGTTCGGGTTGTTTCGCAGTTTCTTTGCCTTTCTCTTTCTCTCTTTCCTTTTCTCTCTGTTGTGATTCTCTCCTGGTTTGCTCATCCGCTTCCGCTTCTGCTTCACTGCGTTGCTTTTCCTCTTCCTCCATTTCGTTTTTCTCCTGTTCCTTCTCTTTCTTGATTCGCTCTTTCTCATCCTCATCATATTCAATTGTGAAGTTAATATCCTTAACTTCAGAAAAGTCATTGCATACTTCAGTGTAGTTGGGACACAAGATACTTCCACTTTGGAACTCCTGACCATCCGTGACTTCAATTTTCCCATCTTCGCATACATGCCATTTGTCGGAACCACTGTACTGTACCGATACCTTGTTGTTCTCACACTTCACTTTCGCACAAATGTCACCAACGGGCGGTTTACCATCTGGTTCTTTCAGTTTCAGATTCTCACCTTTCAGACATCGAGAGATATTGCTCAGAATACTGCCAGGAATCAGTTTGAACTCATCCTCCTCACAATTTGTCTTAGGAATCGGTTTAATAATGTGATAACCATCCATCAGGTCATTATCGGAGTTATAGAGAACTGTGCCAAAATACATCGCATAGTCATCAGGAATCTCAACCCCAGATGGCTTCATCGAGCACATTCCAAGTGAAAAACGGTCAGAAGTGCATTGCAGAGCAGGATTTACTTCATCGCAGAACATTTCAGAGTACTTGGAGGATTTTGTTTGTTTGTATTCTTCTTTGTTTCCACCCTTCAGAAAATCACAACCAGCATCCTTTCCCCAACTCATATTTTCAGCCATTTTAAAATTGGCCTTGTAGAATGGCATAGAATCAAATACAGAAAGTGTCAGTGCGGTGTAGAACATTCCATTGCTGCTGCTACTGTACGTACTCATCAACTCATCCTTCGCAATAAGGCGTTTCCAGTGTAACGGATCAGCTTCACCGCGGTCATTTTCAAAAACCAGACTCTTTATTTCATTATCGTTAGCGCAAGCATACTGTGCTTTCATTTTCTCGATCACATCATTGGATTCGACCAAAAGGACTTTCTTCCCTGTGTTTTCTTCCACAATCACCTTATGCTCCTTCATCGTTTCAATATCAAACCCAAGAGCATGTGCAACCTCATGTGCAGTCAAGCGAATGAAGTGCCTTGTATCAACAATTTCTTTGGGAACAAATTTAATCAAAGCAGATGTAGGGCGTTTCTGGTCGTTGTAAGAGCAAATCTTCACGCTGTTAGTTGAGTCAGCTGATGGTATAAGACCCACATACAACATAAAATCAGCATCGGGAATACCATCTCGATGCTCTTTTGGAATTGAGACATTTGGGCACTCTGACAAGTATGGATACTCTTTCTCCCTAACAAAAGGCAAAATCAACTTGCCGTGCACCTGCTCAACACGGAGACGTTCACTGTGTAGTTTGAGAGCAGCAGGAAGAACGTCTCTTAAAAGCGTTTTTCTCACATACAGTTTTACCTCGTTTTGTCCTTCGCAAAACTCGTTGATTTCCTCGGGATCAAGTGGAAATCCATATTCTTTTGTATCATCATATTCAGCATCATACTCTTCTTCCTGATCTTCATCCAAATCCACATCAGATTGTTTACAATACTTCAACACCCTATCAATTTCTTTAGCAGAAACAGCAAAACGAATGGGTTTAAAATCTTTTTTCTTCTCAGAATCAGTAACAGAGAGGGTGTACGTATCCCAGGGACCCTGTCCTCTCTGCGGTAGCGGCTGCACAACAGCTGCAATGCACCCGTAGGCACAACACAGCAAGAACAGCGCAGTGCACAACAGACGACGCATGTGGATCTTCTTGAATGCTTACTCGCAAAAGAGTGTGTTGGGTTTGTTTGTGTATAGCTG